GGATCTTGTTAAGTTGCTTATACAGACTCCCTAAATTGCTGAGGCTGACTTTGAACTTACAATCCTCCTACCTTAGCTTCCAAAGCTGCTGGGATTACAGGTGTGCCCCACTGTGCCTGGCCATCCCAGCTTTTATTTATCTATAAAAATGATTTATTTGTTCTCTTTAGTTATACATGACAGGAGAAAGTATTTTGACATATTAAATATACGGGATGTCTAACTTCCCACTTTTGTGGTTGTATATGAAGTGGAGTTACACTGGTTGTGTATTCATATCAGAACATAGGAAAGTTATGTCTGATCATTCCACTGTCCTTCCTGTTCCCATCCCCTGTCCCTTCCCCTCATTTCCCTTTGTCTAATCCAATGAACTTCTAATCGCCTGCCCCACTGTGTGTTAGCATCCACCTATCAGAGAGAACATTCAGCCCTTGGTTTTTTGCGACTGGCTTTTTTTACTTAGCATGATAGTGTCCAGTTCCAGCCATTCACTGGCAAATGCCATAATTTTGTTCTTCTTTATGATTGAGTAATATTCCATTGTGTACATGTACCACTGTTTCTTTATCCATTCATCTGTTGAAGGGCACTTAGGTTGTTTCCACAGTTGAGCTATTGTGAATCGAGCTGTTATAAACATGGATGTGGCTGCATCATTGTAGTGATACCTGCCTTTTCTATTTCTATGAACAATACTGGAATTTTAATAGGTATTACATTAAATCTGTATAGTGCTTTTGGTATATGGCCACTTTCATCGTATTAATTCTGTCTATCCAAGAACATGGGAGATCTTTCCGTCTTCTAAGGTCTTCTTCAAGTTCTTTCCTTAGTGTTCTGTAGTTTTCCACTGTAGAGGTCTTTCACCTCTTTTGTTAGATCGATTCCCAAATATTTTATTTTATCTGAGGCTACCGTGAATGCCTCAGCCTCCCAGCTTCGACAGCAGTGGGGAGGTGACGGGGAATTAGAAGTCACCAAGTGTGACCAGGTACCCAGGAAGGCTACCCACAAAGTTGTTAAAAACCC